TTGAGCTCACTTTGTAGCCCAGGCTGGCCTCGAACTCGCAACTATCCTCCTGCCTCAGCCTCCCCAGTACTGGGATTACAGGCATGCGCCACCACGCCCAGCTCTTAGGCCCCCTTTTATGTTTCTGAAATAATTAAGGTCTGGATAGGCAAAAATGAAAATAAGGCAAGAGATTCATGCCAAATTTAAGCAGACTAAGAAAACCTAAGTTTCCTATTGCAGGCAAACAGCAAGTCTCAGATTATTATCCATCCAAAGTCACACCCAAAAGTTCTCCATCTTTCTTATTTAAACATTGTCATATCTTTTTTCTCACTATCACCAATATTAATTCACTCTGGGAGAGGAAAATATGTATCTGTCAGAGAGTCTGAAGATATAACTCTGGTGAGAAGCAATTACTTTCTTTTATTCAGCACACATGTACTGAGTATTTATTATGTGCCCAGTACTGTACTAGAACAAAGAAAATATAAGAAATAAAATATAGTCTTACCCTCATAAAGTTACTCAGAGATAGAGAAACTGAAAAAAAAACAATAGTGTGATGAGTGCTATGATATATGAACAGGCTGTTTACCAAGACAGAGAAATGGATCAAATGTAGGCAGAGAAGGGATGACCAAGAAGTCTCTTAAAGAAGGTGATGTGTGAACTCAATGTTCAAAATCACAGAAGTCAGCATAAAGAAAAATGAGGCTGTTTCCAAGATAAGAAAACAATGTATGAAACATACATGACATATTCGTTATACATTCAGCACAATGTATAAACATACATTATACATTCAGGGAGCCACCCATAGTTCCCTATGTCTGAAGAACAGAATAAACGTAGAGGAGTGGACAGACACAAGGCTAGACAGAAAAAGGCAAGGGGAAAACATTAAAGACCTTAGGTGCCAAGACAAGTAGTTCAAGCTTTATCTTTAAGTTTGTGAGACTCCACAGAAAGATGTTAAACTATGGTGACAGGATCTGAATTTTAGAATGAATAGTTATGCAAAAAATAAAAGGAATAAGCTAAGAAAGAAAGAGTATACACAGGAAGCCCAATCAAGTAATTGTCATGGTAATAAAGACACCAAGTTATCTGGGCTTCATCGGAGAAACTGGCAATAAAGATGAAGAGATTATTTCAAGAGTAGCTAGACATGGTAAATGGCTGGGTACAAAGGGTAAAGAAGAGGATTCAAGAAAAATTCCCCAGTGCTAATTTATAAAACCGAAGGGGCTGGGGATTTAGCTCAGCAGCAAAAGCGCCTGCCTGGCAAGCGCAAATTCCTGAGTTTGGTTCCCGGTACCGGAGAAAAACCAAAAAAATAAAAAATAAAAAAAATAAAACCGAGTATACGCACGAGTCATTCCCTAAGATAGTAAGGGAATATAAAAGCAAGAATGAGTTTGAGAATAAAGATTATGTTCTCATTTTGGAACAAATTAAGTTTAGGACACTTGAACCTTATGAAGAACCTGGTTTAGCTGAATTCTAGTACCCAAATTGGGAGAAGAGGGCAGAAAAAAAAATTTTTTATTGGAACTCTTCATATAATATAAATTTAAGTGCTAACAACTCTTGGTGGGAAAAACTACTCTTTAGAGAAAACGGAACACTACAAAATTTGAATTCCAAAAGGTCAGCCACGGGATGAGGGCACTGGTGAGCTTACTGACATTTGGAGGACAGTTACATAAAGTTCCTTTCCTTAAGAGGCAAACGTGGTGTAGTGTCATTCTTTCTACTGACCCTTCCTTTGCATCTGTCAGTACAGTTAGAAATCAGCTCTACTTTCCTGACGAGGAGAACTGTTAGACTCCAGGAAAACAAAAGCAAGCTGTTTATAGATTACTGATAATAAATTGTCTGACTTGAAGATCTAATGTTTTAGAAAAGTAAACTTTTATCAGACATGCCCTAGTAAAGAATAGCTCACTAAACATTTTTATGATTTTACCTTTTTCAAAGACAATTCTTTTTTTAAAAAAAAAATGTATATCATGATTACATGTTTTATTAGAATTCTACTTTTACTTTTGAAAGAACTGTGTTCAGTACAATAGATAGGAAAGGGAAAGAAATTGCTCAAAGGAAGGAACAACTGGGATGAGGGAAAGAAGAGAAGACAAAGAAGGAAGGCAAAATATAAATATATATATGAATAGCTGCAATAACTCTATTGCTGATGTCTGATGGTGTATTGAAATGAACAGTTAATGCTCCCAATTTTTTACGTTCTGATCGACTTTGTATGCTTGTGTCCGGTGGTCTGAGCAACTGATTTGAAGGTAACAATATGCAATGGAATTACAATGGTGAACTCCTACCATCTTGTCTAGTGAAACTCTGTATTCTCTCTCAGGTTTTACTGAAGAATTATTTTCTTATTCTCTTTAATGGTTTGAGCAATCTTTCATTCTTACATCTGATAATCTGAGCAATGTAGGTGAGGATAGTGATATGCAATGTAACAACCACTGTTGATTTGTATTAATTTGTCTTGAGACCCTGTATCACTTTGAATGTTCTCGCTTTGATTTGTTTATGTTTGTGATACTGGTATGCTGCTACTGTTCTATTTTTTGTTTGTTTCTCATTTACTACTCTCTTTAAAATAAAAATAAATAAATAAAATAATAACTGTGTTCAAAGTTAGCAGTTTTTAGCCACGTTTTGGTTTAAAGTACTTTAAAATTGTCATTCGGATCCCAGGCCATATTATCAAACTGCTGTCTAGCTATTACCAAGTTATTCTAATTGACACTGAAATACATTCCCCCCCAGAAAAATCTGAGGGTTAAAACTGTAAGTGGAAATATATTTAAAGCTTATTTCTAGATTTCAGCTCCAAACTTTACCTACAATTCCTTTAAAAAACATGAAACAAAATTGATCCTGTTAGTTGTCCAAATTAAAATAAACATTTACTGTTAAAAACCTGGAGGTAATATTTTAATATCTTTTTGGAAAAAAATATGTAAAAACACTACATGTAAAATACAACAAATCTCACAAAATTAAACATTCAGACTAAATCACATTTAAAAGGTATGTTAAAGATGTAGAAAACAAAAAATATATACATACAAATGTGTTTATGCATATATATACACATACATATGTATATAGAGATTTTCATCTAACATCATAAAGTAATCCCTAAACATATGTATGTATGAATTAAACTATCATAAAGTAAGTTAAATGTACTAAGGACACTTCTTTTTTAATATAATGTCATGTCTGTCCACGTAATGAAGAACAGAACCATCACCTAACTTTGTGAATTAAGACTGGAAGCTTCAAGATTTGCTTTAGCAGGGTGCATACTGTGTATACAGATCTTCTTTAAGATCATTTCCAACAATCTTATTTTGAAAGAGTATTGGACTTATATTATTTCAAATGTGGTAAGCTGAACAAAACCGATACTGAACAACATACCTTTCAGATAATTTAAGGCTTTGGTGAAGAAGTTCTAATTTTTGACATGTCTCTATGCTGTCAACAGATGTCGAAGGCAATGAGTCTGATTGCACTTTGTTGGCGTCACATAAATTAGGATCGTTTCTAGGTAGGGTGTTCCTGAATTTTCGTCCTAAATCCGTCCATAGGACATTCGTCAACATAACTTTGAGTTGCCTGTTATATACATAAATAATTAATAAATATGGTACTAAAATAAGACATGAATTTACCACAAACTAACAAATTAATATGTGTAAGAATTCTAACTTTCAGCTCTTCAACCAATTAATTAGAAATACGATAAATAAGAAAATAAAAATGCTTAGCTACTCCCCAAAATACATTAAAAGGTAAGGCCCATTTCACTTAGACTGGGATTTTCTTTCGAACTCTGACATGCATGCTACAAATGTGCTCACACGTGTACCTGCTGGATTCCTGGCAATCCGAACATGTTTACTCATACCATTAGTGTAAGGCCAATATACATCTGTAGATCTCATTACAGATATAACCTCTTTCTGCGGTAAAAATTTTTTTGATATGCTGATTCAGAAAACATTATAATAGAAGGACTGAAATAATACATCATCTTAAACCTAGATCAACACACTCTTAAGATATGGATTTAATTTACCATATTTCTAAAATGAGTAAATTTAAAACATTTAATGTATCAATCCGAAAAGGAAATACACTTTTAGGTTTTTGTCTGTTTTGCCAATTTGCTCATTCAATACATTTCTATGCTGACAATATCTGAAAAACTATGTTTAGTTCTGCAACTATGGAATATAGTTTTTGCAATAGTATGAACAGACTACTAAGTGAACTTCAAGCAATGTCACATGAGAAATAATTGAAAATTATCAGAAAAGTGTCTCTTGTACTCCCTGGGAAGTAGTTTTAGGCACCTGTTTTGTTTGCTTGTCTGATTAATGAACATAAGAATATTACAAAACACAAAAGCAAACTGTTCACATATTTTCAAGATTAAATAGGAGAGAAAAAAATCACATTTGCAGCACCTATTTGAGGACATATCCCCAGGCAATCTAGAAAAAGTACACAGGTCCTAAGAACCTCTACAGGAGGCTCTGAAACTCCAACAGTGGTGACTTGAGGGAGAGGTTAAGTTTAATGAATAAAGAGGTGAGTGACATTTCTGTGAATTAATAATTCATTCAACAAATACTTGGTGAGCACTTCTAGTAAAGGAACAGTGCTGACAGGATCTGAAAACTCAGCAACAAACAAGATAAAGTTCTCGCCTTCCCTGGGCTTACAATTCATAGATTAACTCATTTCATGATTTATAACTGTGATAAGTTCCATGAAGGACAAGTATAGATGGCACACGTCTTCTCAACCAAGTCAGGAAAGGTTTTACTGAGATTACGAGCCTTGAACTAAAGTTTGAAAGGGGGTTAGGTGAAAAATGGAGAGAAAGACTGAAAAGAAACACAAAAAACAATTCTAAATGTAAATAAACGGAGAAGTACTGGGAAGATGGCTAAGCGGTGAGCAAGAGAGAAAGAGCCGCTAAGAGATTTGGTGTCCAAACACTGGAATATAGCAACCTGAGGAAGCAAAGCGGGGAAGTGGGTCCTGAGGACCCAGGAAGGATCTGAAGTGAGAATTAAAGCCCATGTGGGGAGCAAAGAGAGAACCTTCCACAAAACATGAGGTGCAGGGGGGGCTTTCTTCCTGAGCCCGGATACACTGCATGGGAGGGGCGGCTGAAACCTACAGACACATGGTGACCCCAGCTGACCACAGAGGTCCTCCTGACAGACGGGTCAGTGGGGCCACCTGAGCCAGAACTCAGCAACTGCTGGCTCCGCCTAGCAGCTCCCAGCGGAGGTCAAGCCTGTAGAAGGCGCAGGCACAGCCACAGGCTGAATGAGCCTGTTCCACACTCACGGCCAGAAAAAAGCCTGAACTTCTGTGGAAATAAAGGTGCAAATTCACTGGGACTATGCACTACCCGGCCGTAACGCCCCTCCTGGCTTGCTGGGACTCATCAACACGGGTCTGGACTCTGGGTGCCCACACTGTCTGCCAGTGACGAGAGAGACACGCCCAGAGGTGGACTTTCTTCCTTCTTTCCTTTCTCCGTTCTCTTTTTGAGTCTTTTTTGTTTTCTTTTGTCTTTTCTTGTTCTTTTTACATGGCAGTGAACACAGTTTTCTATTTTGTCAGTGATGTTCTGCTGCTCTTTTTATTCCTTCCCTATTTCCCGTGTTTTCTGTACCAGTTCCCCAAATACGCACAAGCCTCCCTCATCTTCCAGCCTTACTTCTAATCTCTTCCTCTTCTCTGTTTCTCTACTTTTTACCCCTAACTACTCCTAAATTTTCTCCCCTTAGGATAAAACTGCCCTGTTGAGGGCTTATTGACTGCATACAATTTTCTGGTTCATTGTAGATTTGTCAAGTAACTACTAACCTAGTTCATATGCTCAAAGGTGGCAAATGGACAGTTACCTCAGTTTGTCACCGTGGTGGACTGACAACAGGTGGTCAACTCGTGACCCCCAGCTGAGCTGAATCAGCGTGGGGCTGGGTGTGGAGGCCCACCTGAGGATTGCGGCCAGCAATTAAAAAACGAAAACTGGAGATGAAGAACCGTGCTGTTGGTTCTCCTGCAGGAGCTTGTCATGCTGCCTCTCCTGATGTGAAAGCAGCTGTTCTCACTGACGGAGGAGTCCAGGACCTCGCTGTCACTGAGAAAGGCTGCAGTTGACTTTGGGGGAGCTCTGGTCCTTACTTTGAGCATGGCTTCCTGGCTCCAGAAGATGGTGCATTGTTCAATCTCAGGGAAAAGCTCGTTGCACTGGCTTTCCTCACATCAACTCAGCTGTTCTCACTGTTGGAGGAGCTCAGGACCTTGTTGTCGCTGAAGATGGCTGTGGTACTTTTCAGGGAGCTCTGGTCCTTGAGTGTGTAACCTCTTGGACCCACTGCAGATCCCTCAGCCTACTGACACAGATCCTTCATCCCGCCGGCACAGACTTTCTTTCAGCCCTGACCTTTGGGCCTTCCCAGCACAGATCCATGAAACAGGCCTGCATGAGACATTGTCATGGGATCTAGGCCTCCAGCTGGACTTGTAGGGGGCATTGTGATGGGCTCTAGGTTTTCAGCTGGACTCATGCAGGACACTGCCGTGGGATCAAGGCCCTCAGCTGGATTCTTTGGGTCCCTAGGGCATAGACAGATTTCCTGCACTCTTTTGTATTTGACTCTTTGGGTAACTACAATAAAATAATCCTATAAATTATGTATCCTGTATTAAATTGTTTCCCTTGCAAATCTTGACTACAAGTCATATCTAGGCTATGTTTGTTGCTATTTTTATTACTGATTATACCACTTTACCCAAGCTGACAAAATTATTCTAAACAGCTATTCTTCCAGTTATACCAAGACTGAGATTGCATAATAGTGACAAAAAATACTATATGCCAGTGCCAAAGAACTAGGGGCTGGGCAAGGCAGGCAGGAACTTCTCATCCCCAATAAATTGAAGATGTAGGATTGTCCAACAGAATCAAAAACCAAATGGGAGACACCTCTGAGAAGTAGGCATTTCCTAACAGATCTAAATACTATAATAAAGCTAACTCACCATAGGCAATTTATAAACAACAACTCAGGAACTAAACTAAAAATAACGAACAAAAAAGAAAAGACACTTAAACAAGATGCAACCCCAGACATCCAGCTCACCAAAGACAAACCCAAGAGGAAATTGAGGGGAACAATACAAAAGACACCCATCTAGCCTCTCCAGAGCATTAACAGTGGAAGTAGCAAGGCAAATGAATGAGGCTCTATAAAACATCAACTCAGAAATAACTTCTCAGGTAACTACAGAGATGGTGACCATAATGAAAGCCATGCAGACACAGACAGAAACACAGAGGAGCTTTGGAAAATAATGGAAACCAAGAATGCCCAACACAGGAATGAAATGGAATCTATAAAACATACACAATCATATCCAGGAGATAAAAAGTTCCATTGAAAGAATATGCACCAGACTGATGTACACCACAAAACAATCTTTCAAAACTGATAGGGAAATAAGATACTTCCATAACAAAGAACACCAGAGGAGATTCATGAAGACCTAATCAACACTTCAAAAGGTTCTGAAAGACATTCTAGAAAGAAATGACAAGGATTACAACTCAGTGAACCCCAAAAGAATGAATCCACCAGGCAAGGCAAACAAACAGATCAGATGAAAAGGGAGGCAACAAAAGGAAAATAATATGACAAAGATAAGTCAATACCTATCAGTTACAACCAGTAATACTAATGATCTCAATTCACCAATCAAAAGAAACAGACTGGCAGACTAGATCAAGAACCAAGGTCCAAGCCAGGCATGGTGGTGCATGCCTGTAATACCAGCACTTGGGAGGCTGAAGCAGGAGGACTGCTGTGAGTTTGAGACCACCCTGAGCTGGGCCAGCCTGAAATGCATAAGACTCTGTTGCAAAAAAGACCAAAAAAAAGAAGAAGAAAAAAAAAAAAGGAGCAAGATCCAACCATATGCTGCATTCAAGATTTCACGGGGGTTCCTCCTTGGAGACAATGGTCCTTCTCCATGAAGGCAGTTTTACAGAATCTGAATACTGGGCACCCATGTAATCCATGAAGTCTCAGTGCAGACCTCTCCAGAGCTCCACTCACTCCTACACTGCAGCCTGTACAGTTAGGGGAAGAATGGCCTCCAGGGGGCCTCTCCAGGTATTGCACAAGGTCCCCCTGGTTTCCAGCTCCTGAATGGCTTTCATGTCCCCAGTCCACTCGACCTCTGAGTTGTTGGGTGTCAGTACTCTCATGTTCTCCAAGTCCTTGTTCATCAGCTGCTCCTCCACTGACTCTGACCTTTCTGGCTCTCAAGGGCAGGGCCAAGAGCAACCGGCCGTGTGGCATGTTTTCCCAGAGGTTTCTCCATGTTGGGATGGTTCACGCATGTATTGCAGCAGCCACTGATGATTTCCTACCAATCTGTCCATAACTCTGTAATGTTTGTATTGTTCCTATACTATTTCATAAATGGATGTATGTTTGTTACTATGTGTTTTCAACAACCATTGAGAACAGTCAATGATTATTTGATTCATCACTCATGTATAGCTCAATTTGTTTACCCTAGAG